AGAAAAAAATGGTTCCAACCTCGTGGGAGGCAGAGCTCAAATAACAGGAGATGCATTCGTAGGAGAAAGGAACCAAAGGTAATTCAATAAAAACAAGAGCTTTTGTTTGCACGCCACGTCTGCTGATATTATTTTAGTGTAGGACTTTTTGTTTTTGTTAATTCTTTCTCTGGTTTTGAATCAGGTAGAGAAAAAACAAACATACCAATTATTGCACATTTAATACAATTTCAGGAAAACACCTATTTCTTTTCCAAAAGTAAAATGACAGCATAACTCAGGTTTGCCAGACGTGTTCAAGACGCGTTACAAGTGAAACACATCCGCTTTGGAGGAAAATACAAGATAAAATGTTAGTCACACAGGGAAAGGTCAGTTTTGAAGTCGCACAGAGCATACACAGAAAGCAGGAAAGACTCATGCAAAAACAATGGATGAAACCTTAAAATACTTTACCCATGATAGGAGTTCAGGAGGACATAAAACGGATAAAATAGCGATCCTCCTTAAGTCTCACAAAAAACAAAATGTGGGGCAGACTGAGAATCAGCTCTCACTGCCTCAGTCAGCTTATAAACCGCCTCACGCCGTTTATTGCTGTTCTCTTTTCTTTAATTGTAGATCTCATTATGTTGTGTTTGAGATGCTGCACAGAATCACATTTTTGTTTATAACTTTTCATAATCTCTCCAAGTCAAATGTGGGAAATTGTTTTAATTTCTGTATAGCACAGAGACAGAAGTGAAAAGAATCAGCACAGAATCTGCTCACCCTGCCTAGTCAGAGCCTCTGTACGCAGTGACACGGGAAAAAAAAATCTAATTAGAGATTAAAAAGTCATATGCAACAGGTGTGTTCAGGCCTTTCTATGAGACTCAGACAATAAGATGGTGGATGGTTAATGGTTGGGTTTATTTTTGCTGTGATTTAGTTAGTGTGATTTCTTTATTTCTTAGTAGAGCTGCAGTAATGGTCTAGTTTGTAGGTCTTCCACATGGGTCTGGACCCCTAGGAGGTCCACAGAGGTACAGAGAAACGGGTCGAGAAAGTTTTGGTGTAATTTTTTATTTATTTTTTTTATATTCCCCCTGTAATTTTTTCCAGTAATCGAAATGCCTTTAAATACATGTTAACATGAATTCAACACACTGTAGTAAATAGATAAATGGAGGCAGAAGATGTCTTTCAGTCATCAATGCACACATTTTGTAACACACAAGAGCCCTTTCCAGCTGGGAGCTGTTTCATTCTCAACACCTGTCCCATCTACCAGGAATCAGAATCAGAAATACTTTAATAATAATTTCATACAATATATATAATTAGGGTGTAAATGACCCAATTTCTAATTTTGCTACAAGACATATTACAATGTGAAATTATTAAAAGCTATTATTTTTGTGAATTTATAATGCTTTACACTTTTACCTTGTTTTAATGGACCTTATTTTGAAACTACATGACCAGGTTTTAGTAATTGGTTACTGCGAGATACAGAGAAGAGGCTGAGATTGAAACGTAGTAAAAGAAGGAAAGATAAAAGTTAAAAATATTAAACTTTGTTTGAAGGAATTAATCCATCCAAAGTGGCACAAGGTTAGTGCTTATGTGACAAGACATGTTTAATGTGTTCATGTGTTTTGAAATGCATGTGAAGAACTCTTATTAAGTTTATTATTAGGTCTCCGTAGCTTACGTACAAGATGCTAATTTTACGTAGTATTGGCTAGTACCATAATACATTTTTTCTCCTGTGCTCTGCCTAGCTCTCACGGTGGTTGGTTAAAAAGGATTATTGTTGAGAAAGCTAAGATTCCAATAAACAAGGAAACCATCAGTCAAGTGTTGACCATCTTTCGGGGGAGATGCTACATAGCGGGTCCCCGCTCCATGTCGCCATCAGTTTGGGGGTCCTTGGACTGGAAAACGTTGTTTAAGTCCTATTCTCATCAGATTTAAACACGCCATTAAGATTTTCAACCACAAAGCCAATAGACTACTCACTCTTTGAATGAATATTTGGACATTACAGTCCCCTGTTGGATAAAAGTCCTATAAAGGGATCAGAAAAAAACAGTTAAACATACTTTATCTCACTATATATGTCAAATTTCTGACGTCTTTTTCAGCTTTGAAGAGACACCCTCCAATAAGACTTTGAGCGAGTCACTTGCTTCAGCTAAATAATGTAATAATAGTCAAACTTTAGCTGGGTAGTTTTGCAGCAGAGCTTTTTTAAATACTATGAAAGTCGACACTCCAGAGAGCGCAGCTTAAGAATAATTTATGAAGAGATGTGTTTAATAAGAGCATGAGTTTATCCTCCACACTTTTCTATGTGCATTTGCAGTACAACGGTTTTATTTATTGCTCCAGTTAGCCAGTTTAATGCAGGAAAAAAAAAAGCGACTCATCAGCTTATGATATGAGTGCGATGTAGCCAGTTTCACCACTAGAAAAGATCTGATTTTGATCTTGTTTGTCGTTCTGATCTTCTGGAAATATTACTCCTCAGCCTAACAAGTCTATTCTTGTTTGCCTTGCAAGGCAGTTTCTTCATGAAATAGTTAAAAAGGCAGCATCAAAAATGGAAAAAAAAAAGGATTTTGACAAGCTGTAAAAATGGAGACAGAAATTTTTCAGATTGCAGTCAGTCTCAAGTAGGCAGCAAGTGCTGTTTTTGGCGGAGATGAGGCTCCATCTTTTACATTAGACCTGATGTATTTTGGTATTTATTTAACTTACACAACATACTTTTAAATGCAACTAAAACATTGCATTGAGCAACACTCCCTTGCTGAGATCTTCATCCTTTAGATGAGCATCCACTTCTAAGTGACTTGCATTCAACAGGCCTGTAATTACTCTCTCTCTGATGGGGCTCTGGAGTGGAATGAATAGAACAGGGAACATCTCATCCTTTGTCTTCCTTCCTCTTTAATTCCCCCGGCTCATTTCAGCGTCGGAGACAAAAAAAAAAAAAGAAGTAAGCCTGCGATTGGAACAAGGGCCTGAAATAAAAGGCGGCGCTATGGAAAGTGGATTTGTCTCTTCCTTTGTCTCCGTCACCCTGCAAATGTATATTTTTCAGTTGCTGACAGGAAAAAATGGGCTCCATTCTGCTTTTTCTCTTTGTCTGCCGTTTTATGTTTTGCTCTAAATACGTTGTGTACGTAAGCAGGAAATGTGATGAAAGGCTTGCACTGTTTTAGCAACACCAGCATGCCAAAATGATTTTCAGTCTTGCCTATAATAAAATGTTATATAAAGTATCACCTAAAATTACTACCATAATTTACTCATCCCCTTTATATTCTTCTCTATATTAACTCCAAACTGTGGAAAGCTTTTTTTTTTTTTTAAATGCTGCCGCCTCTACTCTGTTAATGAAACGGCTCTGACATTTACTTTAAAAATAATTTGGCAGGATATTTTTAAACAAACATGAGGCTTTGAACTTACACTCAAGTTTGCACCATTTTATGCAGAAAATATTAAGGATACCCAAAACTAAATTGAATAAAATCAATTTGGTAGTCAAATTGGGTTTAACTAAAAGGCTCACTGATTTAATATCAAAAGTTAATTATAATTTAACATTAGCATACGCTCAAATAAACATTCAACACAATGAATAAACCTTAAAGGTAATTTTGTGTAGTTTTATCATTCTTCTGATTCTTATTGAGAATAAGTCAGGCAGTGAATTTAATGATCAAACTTTCTCACAGTAATTATGTCTTTTATTTTAGTTCCTTTTTTTTCCGGTTCAATCTACAAATAAATCTTTTTAACTTTTTAAAATCTGTTTTTATGTCGTTTGGCAGTACAGTTGTTCTATTTGAATTTAGCTGTTGAATATAATCCCTATAATATATAATATGTTGGCTGTAAACTTAGCTTACTAATGCAATTGTCTTTTTTTTTTTAAAGTTTCATCAGTTGTTTATTCCTAAGACTTTGATAAAACTATTTTCCAAAATGATTTGCCATAAATACATTAATATTTGGTCACCCAGGTGGTCGGCTACATATTTATTTTAAAAACTTCTTAGCAAAGAAAGAGACTATTAAAGAAATGCAGGTGCATCTTATTAATTACAATATTATTAAAAATGTGATTTATTTTGGTAGCTCAGTTCACAAAATGGAGCACAATATATGCACGTGTTACACCCAGGTGGATGTTTTTTTTAAGCCTTTTTTTTTCTGTTATGATGATTTAGATCTGATTTATTCTCCTTCCTGTTGAGTAATCAACATTTAAAAACAAACATTTTTGTACTTACTGCTGGTCTGTGTCTTTTTGATATAATGAGTAGAGATTGTTAGGTGCAAGTTGCACCTAACTTGGAAAAATTGATGGCTACTGGTTCTTGGTAGTTCCTTACTTTGCATTGGGAACCAGTTTAGATAAGATTTCATTAAGTTTCTATATTAAAATATACATATTAAAGTGGTGAGGGGAAAAAATGAATCAAAAATCCATATTGATCGCTGCTACTTTAGATTAAAATTCCTCGGTAGCACAAATAAAAAGAAAAGTACAACTGTCCAATAACTGTTTTTCTGCAAGAGTTTAGGAAATTATCAAAAAACACTATTTTTAGATGTATGGACAAAATAAAACATTCACCCTTTAGAAAGAAAGGAAAGTGAATCATTTCAGTAAAAGTGAAAGAAAGGTTGCTAGCTCATTAAAATATTAAGCACACATTTATTGTTTGCTAAAACGTACAATAACTATTAATAACAAACAATAATAACAATAAAATAACAATTGCAGCTATTGCAAAAGCCAAAATAATTCTCTTGGTTTTTATAAGGACCACGTGTGGTTTTTAATGGTACTGTTGGAAGTCGCAAAACATTGCTAGTTTTACAGATTCAGTCTTTAAACAATAGAAATATTTCCCTTTATATTCAAAAGTACAGCTGGGTTTTTGTTGTTTTTTCAGATGTTGTGTAATCCTAAACGTGTCATATTTCTGTGTTTCTAGGCTGAACCAGAAGGCTTCTCTCATTTTCACCTCTACGTGTGCGCTGCCTTCTTGGTACGGTGGAGGAAAGAGATTCTAGAGGAGCGGGATTTTCAGGTAACCTACTCTGAGGACCATTTAACGCACTTTGTCATGGAGTTGAGTAACTTTCAAGTAGCTTTCCATTTTCTGAATGCGCAACATATGGAGAAAGTAGATGCCAAACCCTCCTTCCTGGGTAAATGAAAATGAATTGTCCATATATGTTTTAATAACATTAGAGCAGACCGTAGATGATCATGCCCTACATCCTTCTTCATTAGCTCTACGGTCATTACCCACGCTGTTCAGAAGTTCTGAGTGCATTAGTAGATGACAGTAGCCAGCTGCCAGAAGGTGACTTTGGCTATTTAGCTCTCTGCAAGAGACCTGGCTTCTTTGCTGTAGTGACCATCAAATCTACAAATTATCTGATATTATCAGCCTCAAACAGAATCACTTTTCAGATGTTCTCACATGACTTTTTGAACTTTTTGCTCTTTCGTCAATTTTTTTGAATCTATTTTTTAGCAACGCCGCTCTATCTCTACTTATAGATCCTTAGGGTGTTGCAGAAGAACTCACAAACACTTCCTTTTCTTTTCTTTTTCTTTTTTTGCAAACCAGCAGAAATTGGAGTTTAATTGAGAAGTCGATGGAGACTTGATCATAGTTTTTTTTTTTTTTTTGTATTGATGAAAATCTAAAATGTTTGTGCTTAACTTTCTGAATCGGAACATCATAGAGCCACGTTTTACTGCAGCAACAACTTTAATACTTATGGACTTTTTCTCTGCTATGTTTGCACAGCTAGAGACTGATATTATTTTGTGCTTATCGATCGTGTAAGGCCATTCAGCTGTAGGTTTAGCTCCATTTTTAAGGTCATCCTTTTGTTATTATGCAGTAATACTTTTTAAATTTCTATAAATTATATTCTAGATGTCCAAAAAATGTTAGCTTCATCTGTCCAGAACACCCTCTTTTGCAATGGATTGATTGTTTATGATTTTCCTTTGGTATTTTCTAACTAAAAACCGCCTTAAATCGGAAGGCAACCGGACTTTGGCTCAGTTTTAAAGACATTTCAACACCTGTGGACAAGTCTCCAGAGCAAACTCTAGTTGGAGTGCTGATTTATTTGAGCATCAATGAGGTCCATCCTCCTGCACACATTCCAGGTCAGATGCTAATCAAATAGCAACCCCTTGTTTCTTCTTGTTTACTGTGCAAGGACTCTGTGATTGGTCTTCCATGACTGAATTGTAAATGTTTTAAAGCTGAAGTTGCAACCCTCCCTCTCTCTTTACAAATATAGCTTCCTTGACGCTTCTTTGAAACCATCTATCCTCTCACTCCCAAATCTGAACACTTTTGTCTTCAAAGGTGTGTCCTTTGGTCCTTGTCCTCTTTAGGTGTGGAAATGTCTTTAAAGAAATGAGCTAAAGTCCTATTGCCTTCCAATTTAAACCCGTTTGTGGTTGTCATGACCCAGATGACTGCGAATTTACAACTCGGTCTTTGTCCTGAATTATTTTTTGGTATCAGAATAAGTGCTGTTTTTGAAAAAAGCTTTATAAACTTCTCTGTTTTGTATTTATAAATAGAATAGGGAGGGGGGGGCTCTTAACTTAGCAGTTTATATTTTTCATTCGTATTCAATGTCTAAACGCTTCCTTGTTATGTGGTGCTGGTTTCTGGTTAGGCGGCAGCTTTTCCAATGCAATTTCTGCTCCTTTAAGCTCACTCACATAGAGTTTACTCATCAATAGCCCCAACTTTCCACATTACTTTCCTTTTCTCTGCACTCTTTACCCTCTGCATCCGTTTAGGCTTCTGTTTCTTTTATTCACAGTACATACTAACATTTAAATAACCCTGCTACCTTGCAAGCACACAAGCAGGAATAAATGTAGCGATACTTTTCTCCTTCAGCTTCCTATAGATCTACTTACCAGCTGACTTGCCATGCAGACTACCAAGTGGTGTGCCAAGGGCAAATAATCCATCCTCATATAGATGAGACGGCAAAGATGAAGCATAGAGGGGGTTTAGGATCAGGTTGGCAATGGAAGCGAGAACAGATTAAACTAGGAAGCAATGGAATAAAGAAAAGAATACATTTTGCATGTGCTTTTTTTCCATTAGTACATCCTGACGCTTTTTGCAAAAGACACAGTTACTGATATGCAGAGCATTGTTGAGGATAAACGATTTAAGACCAAAGCATCGACTATAGTTTTCCTATCCTCGAGAATTAAGAGCAGAACTGTTTTTTAGATCCTGTAAAACTTCATACTACGGTTATTGAACTCTGTCTGTCCATCCATCCATAGTTTATTGCAGGATTTCTATATTTAAAATCTGACCACTGCAGAATGACCTTAAAGAATCTCAAAGTTTCTTATTCACTCTGAGAACTCTTTTAATTTAGTTTGTAAAATTATGTAGCCTTGACATTTAAACTTTTTTCGCCCTTTGAAATATTTGTCAGTAAATAAGAAAAACTCCCCAGAGAGTGTGTGTTACAGGTATGTTTTTAAATAGGCGAGTCAGATCCAGCTTTCATCAAGCGACAGTTTAGAATAAGTAAAGAACATAATGCATAAATTACTGTCTTCCACTCTACCCCATGTTACTAAAGACCCTCTGAAAATGGAACCTGAAATGTTAAAGCATGTCATAACAAGTCTTAAAAAAAAAAACAACTTGCATTTTTCCACTAAAATACTTCAGAATGGAAATTGGATCTCTCCAACATTTCATGCTGGCTTTTATTTATTGAAATCACAGCAGAATCCTGGTATTTTCTTTGCTTGATTAAGAAATTGCTCTTAGCACTACAGAGGTCCATCACATCAGGGAATTACTGTAGCTCCTTTCATTGAAAACAGGGAGGGAAACTTATTGAAAAACAATCTATTCAAGCTGGGTAGGATTGGCTTCCATCTAAGACCTGTGTTTTAGTTGATAAAACATAATTCAATCGCTGCGTGAAACATTGCAGGCTTTCTGACTTTGGAAAATCCAAGAAATGTAAAAAGTCAGATCTTCAAATATTTAGACCCCTTTCATTTTTGTCATGCACAATTTAAAGCCGTTTGGACTTTTCAGCTTTTATAACTTGAAATAGGATTTAACCGAAGCTTTTTTTTAAGGTAAAATCTTTTACAATTTATTGCCTATTACTTTCATTCTGTTCTCTCAATGTGTAATGAGTGCATTACTTACAGTTTTATGCTCAACTCTGTAATTTCTTTCTATTCTGTCTCAATGCATTCAGACATTTCATGTTATTTAAAGCTAATTTGAATCATTTAGTTCTGCAGACTTTCTGTGAGCTTTTATTTTTCTAGGTAATTTCAATCCAGTCTTTTTTTTTTTGTATTATTCTTTGCCTTGTTATTTTTTAAGCCATCTCTGACCTCTGAATTATCAAGGTCTTAGAAGACTTCTTCATGCTCTCAAATGATAAATATATCATGTGCCATACAGTCGTTACCAGCTCACCTTACTATAGCTTGGTCCCTTTATTAAGTTAAATCTGTCAAGAAACAAAGCTAGCTGTTTAGTAGGCATAAATGCTACTCTCAAAGGGTTGAATATTGACAGAGTACATAATATCAGATGAGATAAGATTAGAGTACAAACATCAGATGTTTTCTGAACTATTGCCAATAAACACACCTACAGACTCTTTATTTTTAACTGTGCTTACCAATATGCTGGAAGTGATAAAATATCGATCAAGACTTTATGAGCAGCAACCTTTTTCTCATTAACACCATGTAAAAACATAAATAGCCTGAAGTTAAACTTATGTTGTATTAATATGTAGGTGTTTACAGGAAGTTCTACAAAAAACAAGATACTGACATCTTGATAATGGATAATGAAGTAAAACCAGGCTTTTATGTGTTAATGGGAAAAATGTGTTTGAATTATCCTGAAACAGGGAGTTTTTTAATCATTTAGAAACTACAGTTGGGAGTCTGTTTTAAGAAATACTGATTTTAGTGTCATTTATTTCACTTTTTGCGTCAGATTATCCACCAAAAATATAAAGGCTTTGAAAAATACAAAGCCAATAGGTTTTAGCAGAGGCCAACTTTTAAGGGGTCGGGATAGACAGCAGAAGACTTATAGATGTTTGACGTTTATAGGTCCACTAGTCTAAAACTGGAGATTGAAATACAATTTATATGAAATATTCCTCAAAAAGTCATGGAATTTGAGGCTAAAATAATTATTGTAATCCCTTTGTATGTGTGATTCAAGCTAGGAAATACACTTGATTCAATTTCATTCATTGGCAACCCAGTAGTAAGTTGGAAAAAATGCTTTGGATTAATAATTTGTTGGACTCAAAGAGTATTTGTCAGGAACTTCTAAACTTTATTTGATTTATAAGTTGTTTTAAGATAAATCACCATTACCAAACCTACTGTCACTCCTGAGATTATCTATTTCTAGTTTTTTGTTGGGGTCTAGCCGACTCTTTTTCATGTATTGAATCCTTTAAAGCCAACTAGTTTCTGAAGTCTGTTATGTTTTAAAAAAAACCCACAGCATCATAGCTCTTTCACCATATTTCATAGCGTGCATTAGGGTACCTTCCTACTTGTTGATCCTTTGCCTATCACCCAAACTGTTGTTACTCTTTGTAGCTGATTGCTCAGCCTCCGTTTCATTCAAATATAACCAAGGCTTCCATCAAAAATCCCAGCCAAGCTTAGAAATATTCACAAATTACGAAATGGGCTTTTCTCTTGGCGTGCCAACTCACAAATTCTGGTTAGGATATCGATGGCATCTGGTTGTTATGGCGACTTGTAAACCCCAAGGTACCACTCTGGATTTCAGGCCTCTAACTATGAGCTTTTCAGATATTTAACCTCCCTTAATCTCCTCCTCCACTGTTGGTGTAGAAGACAGGATAAATAAGGGCTCCCCAGCAGTCTAGTGGCCACTTTAGCCCTTTGAGGGAATCATTTAGGCAAGACACTAGCAGATTGTTTTATAATTATGTGGAAACCAAAACACTGTTATGACTCTGCTTCCTCTCCAATTGAAATCTT